CTGCAGAGCGACGGGTGCGGACGGAGGGAGCCCCCCTCCCCCCCACAGATTCAAGGCGGGAAAGATGGATTGGAACAGATTCCTCGATCATGTCGACGGGGTCTGTGATTTTCTCAGAAATGAGAATGCTGAGATCGATGACGAAGATGTAGCCGAACTTCTGGTCGATGCCTGCAGGTGGGCATCCCCCCCAGCCTCTCGCCACGTCAGAGGTAGGAGGCCCACATATTGGTGGAACAGCAGGGTGGCAGATCTCAGACGAGAAGCTAACAGGGCGAGAAGAACTCTAACCCGGCACAGGAGCAGGGCGACCGAGCAACCGGAAGCTGAGGAGAGATTAAAAACAATCTATCTTCAAGCGCGCAGAAGGTATGCGAAGGGAATCCTAGACTCCAAGAGAGACAGCTGGAAAGAACTGGTCAAGCAGCTCAGAGAAGACGTCTGGGGTCTCCCATACAAGATCGTCAGAGAGAAACTTGGTAGCAGAAGGCTCAGACTGACAAGCGAAACCATCCAAACCGCCGTCATGCAGCTCTTCCCGACTGCTCGGGTGGCCCGTCGAGAGCAAATCGAAGTCGAACCGCAGGACATCCCCGAGGTTACGAGACAAGAAGTTATCGCCGCAGCGGAAAGGATGCCGACGAAAAAGGCACCTGGACCCGATGGGGTTCCTCCAGAAGCTACCAAGATGCTCATGAGAAGATGGCCGGACATCGTCGCCCGAATGGTCAACGGAGTCCTCCAGAGTGGGGTCTTTCCCCGGAGATGGAAGACAGCGAGACTCGTGCTGATCCCGAAGTCAACACCCGGGTCCTTCAGGCCGATCTGCCTCCTGGACACGGTTGCCAAGGGAGCTGAGACGATCCTCAACAGAAGACTGCAAGAAGAGCTCGAGGAAAGGGATGGACTATCACCGAATCAATACGGCTTCCGGACAGGTAGATCCACCCTGACAGCTCTCGGCAGAGTCTATGACATGATCGCAGCTGAGAAGCAGAAACCCTGGCAACGGAGGAACCGCTGTGCGATTGTTCTCCTAGATGTCAAGAATGCTTTCAACTCAATCGAGTGGAGCGTCGTTCTCGGAGCCTTGAAGCGAAAGGGGATCTCGCCGTATCTCCGACGAATTCTGGGCTCCTACCTGGAGAACAGAAGCATCATCGACGAGGAGGGAAACGAGCACCCCATGAGCGCGGGAGTGCCGCAGGGCTCCATCCTCGGTCCGACATTATGGAACGCAGGCTATGACGGAGTCCTGAGCATCGAGCTACCGCCCGGGGCGACTACCCTGGCATACGCCGACGACCTGGCACTCGTCACGATGGCAGGAAGCATCCGAGCTCTCGAAGAGATCACACAGCACGCTCTGGATGCGATCTCGCTCTGGATGGATGAGAACAAGCTGGAATTGGCGCCTCAGAAGACCGAGGCAGCCATGCTCCTCAAAAGGAGAGTCGAGGACCCCCCGACAGTCCAAATCAAAGGGCATCGGATTCTCTTCACGAAGACCGTGAAGTACCTTGGGGTGACCCTCCAACACCACCTCAAGGGAACGGAACACGTACAAGAGGCAGCGAAGAAAGCAGCTAGGGTCGCAGGCCACATCGCAAGGATCCTGCCACGCACATACGGCGCGTCGGAGGTTCAAAGAAGGATGCTTGCCACGGTCGCCCAATCGGTGGTTCTCTACGGAGCCCCGATATGGTCGGGAAATGCCCTAACGACGCAGCAGAACAGAGATGCGCTAGAACGGGCACAGCGGATATGCGGTATCCGCATCACCAGATGCTACCGAACAGTCTCGACGGCGGCGATCCTAGTCCTTGCTGGTACCGTACCCTGGCCGCTTCTGGCTAGGGAAAGAGCGGAGATCTACCGGAAGAGACTCAGACGGGACCGACCGTACGATTCGGACAGCGAGGGCGACGAGGGAAGACCAGACGAGGAAATACAGGAGGAAACCATCAGGGACTGGCAAAGGTCCTGGGATGGGGCGGAGAAGGGAAGATGGACCCACGAAATCATCCCCGATGTCAAGGTGTGGAGAGATCGCCAACATGGCGAGCTCTCATACTTCACGACGCAGATGATAACGGGACACGGGGACTTCGAAAGGTTCCTCCACCGCATCAAGAAAGCCGAAGACCCGGCTTGCAAGCTCTGTACGACTGGAGCAGAGGATGACGTTACGCACACGATTCTGGAATGCGAAGCCCTACGGGCCGAGCGCAGAGGGCTACGTGCGGGAACGATCTCCGAGCTGGTACGATCTATGCTCGAATCCGAGGAGAAATGGCAGTCCGTCAGTCGGAAAGTGGCGTGCATCATGCTGAAGAAGCGAAGCCTCCGCACAACGCTGCGGCAACCGCCCCTCGCAGTGACCCCCCAAATCACTTAGCGGGGTACGGTACGTAGAAGGAAAAAAAAATCGAAAGTTGTACATAGCCGGACGGGCCGTACTGGTCCATGGGGAGGTGTGGCCCCATGGACCCCACGGGGGGGAGATGAGGCCCCTCTCGTGGGCGCTAACTGAACAAGAGCCTCAGGCGAAACGAGCCTCGGACGCAGACAAGACCAGGTAGCGGGGCTCCCACACACGCGGGTGGGGACGCTGTCAGCGTAACGGATGTTTCATGAAGAAGAGAAGAAGAGGGAAAGCAGGTTCGGGTGATCCCGGAGTAATACCTCTTGGTAGTTCCGGGATCACTTAGAACGGAGGGTGGAGTTTTAGAGGAAATCACCTCACCGTTCGGGGCCGTAAGGTCTCGTTCGTCCGAATGGATTTCTCCACCCGCCTCGAAAAAAAAAAAAAAAAAGTACAGACGTAAAAACCTCTCGCATCTTGATGGAAACGTCGTCGACTCCAGTTCACCCTGCCTCATCAGGAACAGTTCGGTTGTGTATCGGCCGAAGCCCTCGAACTGGGATTTTCCCCGGCTAAAACAGTCGGGTCCGCAGTTTCGTCGGTACAGTGACCACCACAGTGATTCCTCGGCAGAAATTGACATGAGTGTCATCGACGGCGAGTCATGCAAGATCGAGCTCCAGTCTGAGGGCACTGGATCAATCGTGAGCTCTCAAGGATCGGTAACGATCTATCCTCAGCGGAGCGGATGGAAATGTTCCCGGTCGCTCCGTTGTGCCTTGCTGGTACTTTAGTGTCTCGCCATGATCGTGTCGACCGGTTAGTTTTTCACATATCTGCCCCACTATTCTTCGATCTCCTCTTTGATCAAGTTCTCATCTAATCCGATATCTCCCATTTTTCTGCTTTTAGTCGTTGTGTTGAGACTCGGCGGATTTCTCGATGCGAGGGCTGAGATTAACGTTCCCTACCGTGCCGCCAGTCCTTTTTCGTCGGCTGATCGACACGACGCATTTCCGGACGTCGCGAGCCTTGAAGGGGGCTTTCCTTCGACTTACGCTCACACGACCGCGACATCGACTGAGGCGCCGTCGGTGATCGCGTCGACTCCGATACCGCGGATGCCATTCGTCCGTCGTACGACAACGACGACGACGCCTTCTCCGAGCAGGGGAACTACGATGTCCGTCCCCGCCGACTTGCTCAACTGCCGAACGATCAGTCCCTACCAAGTTTGCTACTCAACTGGTCTCGAACTGTGTGTCTCGGGATCCGGGGCGCGTCCGACGGATACCGCTGTCTCATTTCGAACCAGCGTGGCGGTCGAGGTCCTGGCCCCATATTGTCCATATAATAAGTTTGCAAAGGCCACATAAAGAGATCGCGAGGTGAGACCATCAATTTTGAAGAGTCCTCCCCGATTCGTTTTCTGTTGATTCGGGTTTTCGATTTCCCAAGTCGTTCTTTGATAGACAGGATTTTCGGCGTTGGGATCGATTCGTCCGTATGCTTCTGATCGGAGACATCGTATCATCCGTGAGAGAATCTTCTTGACAACGAATAGCAAAATGAGCTCTGATTTCAGGATCACCATGATTTTCCATTTCCTACATACATCAACCGTTCTCGTTTGTGGATTCGGCTTGGGGTTCGGATTAGGCCTATGCTTTCGGAAATCATCACGGTGTAGCGCGCCATTCCAGAGAGTAGATACGTATGAACGCATCCCGAATAAACAGTGT